TGAACTAAAGGGGACTGAAGAATGCATACATAACGAAGAATTCCATAAGCGCTTCTCTTTGGTCCATTATTAAGGCAATAAAATGACAAAAGATGATACAAGAGGGGCATATGGCACAAATACTGGCAACGAGAAACCAGGATATTTCTTGACAGCTGAGTAACTGTCAATTTTCTAAAGAAGAGTTTTCTGAAGGCATATATTAAAATATTTCTACAAAAGCTGAGAGCTGCCTCCATCTCAGAAGAGCATAATGTCACAGGAACTACACCTGCAATATCTCGCTGACAGAACTTAAAAATCACGAAGCGTTAGTCTATAAACCCTGAAAGTTTATAAATATATCCACAAAGTTTGTTTATATTGGCACTTTCAGTGTATTAAAATGCTTCATAAAGTGCTTTTAGGCACACGTTTAGTGTCTTGCAACACTAAATTTTACACCCGTAAGTGAAACTTGACATTTATTGTTGTCACTTAATAAAAAGCAATTTCATATTTTTCCCGGAAACAAAATATTTTGTTTGAAGCATGGTATGTGTATTGTGCCAACTGCGGCCACTTCAACAGCATACTTCTTAAATCCCTCCCACCGGTAATACCAAGGCAGCAGCCTCTCAGATTGTTGAGGCAGTAACTTTAATATCACTTGAATGCCTGAACCGGACGCCATAAAACTGCCAAATTACGTATGCCAACCGACGTCACTCTACTGCGTAGTTCATACATCCATCCATTCAGTAATACCAAAAGCATCCTCTCACATGGTATTGTTTTTATTGGCTTTAATGCTGTTTATTGTACTACACAGTCCGTCAACAATGCAACAAATTGTTCCTTCTTTCTTACACTTTCACTTTCGACACATGTTTCGGCCCTAAATGGCCGTCTTCAGGTGTCTTATTATGCTGAAACTGCTACACTGCACTAATATTGTCCGTTCGTCACATATGCGACTCTACGCTTCATGATTCAAAACGTCATACTCGTAGTCTAACTGGTAGGCGCTAAAAATACGACTATGACGTTGTAAACCATGAAGAGTACAGTCGCATATGCGACGAACGGACAATATTAGTGCAGTGTAGCAGTTTTAGCATAGTAAGACACCTGAAGGTAACCATTTAGGGCCGAAACATGTTGTGTCGAAAGAGAAAGTGTAAGAAAGAAGGAACAATTTGTTGCATTGTTGACGGACTATGTAGTACAATAAACAGTATTAGAAATAGTAACCAGCTTGGAACACGCATTAAGCATAGCTTCCTTGAAGGTGAAGGAGACGTGCTTCTCCGAAACTTCCGTTGACTTTCAACGGACTACAAGGCTTTATATTGCATAAGCTATATCTCTTCGTATTTTGCTCCCAAAAAATATGTATTAAACTGATTCTGTTGAAGTTTGTTACACCACAACACAGAGAAGATCTGCTCTGACCCCGTGACAAATTTGCACCCTCATCAAAAGAATACGGAACACTCAATTAAGACTCACTCATTCTCGTCACTGTACAGTGCAACTGGCCACTGACAGGGTCAAGAGTGTCCAGGGGCTTATGCGGTTGTAATACACTCCTGCCCGAACAGTACTGATTGAATACCCTGCCCAACGAAACGAACAACTTTGCCTGTCATGCACACAAACCTGGGTGGTTCTAGTAAAGCTGAACGTGCTGTACTTCACACTAAACAGCTAATCATTGTTGTTCTGTTTCATAACGCTTTTTCAAGCACCTATGTTACACAGTACTGAAAAGTACGATGATTTAGAAAAGTATGTGGAAGGAAACAACCGTGGCCTATTTTAAGAAATTATAACGAAAATTTGCTGGAAGCACTGGGGAAAACCACACTTAACATTACACATCACCGCGACTTTTCATTTGCAGTTTCTTTGGTTTGAGGGTGTGAGGTACCAAAATTTGATCGAAAAATAGACTATTTTCGCAATTTAGTTTTATTTTTTAAATGATGCTCTGATATTTGAAGATTGCAAGTAGCATTGTTTTATGTCCCTGGGTAAATCTGAAGACCGTGGAACATCATGTTTTTGTCAATAAAAAAGAAAATAAGACAAATGTAGTTAATTTCTAGCCGAAGTAAGTTACATGTAACAGAGTTCATTCTTGGAGATCATAGCCTTGTAACTGGAGAGTATTTTGGCAAAGGAGTACCATGGATATGTATCTGGAGTACTCTAGGTAACAAGTGGTGTTATGATTTGCTGAATAGTTCTTACATTTTGTTTTTTCTACCCACACATATATTTATACCGACATAACTTCGGATCCACTTATCCAATCTGCATGGGATATGTACCCAGTATATGTCAATATATAATAAATATTCCACAAGAGGGAAATTATAATCTATGACATAGGAGACCCATAACAAAACACGTATTTTAATTTTTATAAAAAATAAAGTATAATAATTGGAGTAAATTATAGACTAAGTAAATCAAATTAAAATCATTCTTGAAGATTATGAGTAATTGCTGACGTACCTAATTCAAAAGCTGGTCAGGATACATTGCAGTATTTTAAGAACTACATTTCGGTGTCAGTAAAAGAAAATATTGGAACCTTGAAAAATTTTCATACTTTCTTTACAACAATATGGCTGTCTTTTAATGATAATAAAATGACACGAGGCTTGGCGCAGATCATAACAAAGTACAGGTTTCTTAAAATTTCACGATCCTCCTCCCGAAATGTGAGACGAAAGCCTTTTCCACACTTCATCACGGATGGAATGTATGTATGTGTGTGTGTGTGTGTACTATCAACCGAAAGCCGCAGTCGAAATGTTCGGAATCTTGTTTCATATTCGGGAGGTATTGGTTTCAGTTCTGTCCCGTACGTCGGCTACACTGAATAAGGAGTTTCGCAGTCGTCCATGGTAATTCCTGGCTTCCTGCCACATCCCTTCTTATTTTCCATTCATAGTCCCATTCAGAGCTGTAGAAACTGTAATTACAGACAGCAGAGTGTTTCATAAGAAGCTGATGGTCACTAAGCTTGTTAAGAATTTCCCCATCTTTTATGGCAACTTATTTCAGTATCATGTTCACAAGAATCCGCCACTGGACTGGGTCCTGAGGCTGTTGAAACCAGTCTAAACCCACTCACCCTGCCTCTTTAGGGTCCATTTTAAAGATAGATATACTCCTACACATGTCTCCTTCTGTCAAAGTTTC